GAATTCTGGCTTTATTTCTTTACTGTGGGTTGTATTTCTTGAACCTGTTAGATAAAATAGTGACTGCTGATCGTTTTCAAGCCGTGATACTCCCATGATAAAATGAGAAGGTGAGGCTCCATCCTCTTGACAAACACCATCTGTCGCTGCTGCCGGCAGCCAGGCTCGCATCTTCAGGCGGCTCAGAGCTGTGTTCTGCTTTTTACGGGGCTGACATTTTTGCTGCCTAATTATGAACCACAAATGTGCGTGCGTGCATTTATCTAGAAATGATAAGCTGTATTTGTGGATTGGAGGCATCGGAGGGCTTTCGCAGGGGTTCTTGGCACAAACATCCAGAGGAAGACAAGCACAGAAAAAAAAGGGAGCAAAATAGAAGGAACATTTTCTAAAACTACAGAAAATATTTTAAAGTTTCCATTGCCCTGACTGTGCAGAACTATTCTGTTTATTCCAATAAAATGGTAAGTAATTGCCTTTAGTTTTGTTGCTCTGAAGTCTAATCATTTCCAGCACAGTGGGGTGCTTTCTGTCTTCCTTAATGCTGACATCTGGGACAAAAGGAGTTGAAACCAGTAAAGAAATGCCTTCTGCTGCAGTTAAAAGTGAGAGGACATCCTTTTTCGTCTGTTGGAGCTGTGAAGTGGATCAGCTGAGTAAGTGCTGGCCTTGAGTTTAATGCCAGCCTCTCACCTTCAAGAAGGAAGGCCAGAAAGCCAATGGTGTCCTGGGCTGCATCACAAGCAGTGTGGGCAGCAGATGGAGGGAGCGGATTCTGCCCCTCTGCTCTGCTCTGGTCAGACCCCACCTGCAGTGCTGTGTCCAGCTTTGGAGTCCCCAACACAAAAAGGACATTGAAGTGCTGGAGCGGGTCCAGAGAAGACCACAAAGATGATCCAAGGGCTGGAGCAGCTCTGCTATGAAGACAGCTGAGAGAGTTGGGGCTGTTCAATCTGGAGAAGAGAAGGCTCCAGGGGGACCTTATAGAGACCTTCCAGGACCTGAAAGGGGCCTATAAGAAATCTGGGGAAGAGCTGTTCACTGGGGCATGGACCGATAGGATGAGGGGGGATGGTTTTAAACTAGAAAAGGGCAGATTTAGGTTGGATATGAGGAAAAAGTTCTTCCCCATGAGGTGGTCGATCACTGGCACAGGTTGCCCAGAGGTGGTGCAGGCCCCATCCCTGGAGATATTCAAGGCCAGGCTTGATGGGGCTGTGAGCAACCTGATCTGGTACCAATGTCCCTGCTCACTGCAGGGTTGGACTGGAGGAGCTTTAAAGGTCCCTAACAACCCAACACACTCTGTGATTCTGTGATTCTATGAAAGGTTCTCCGAAGCAAGACATTCGTAATTTCTGATTTGTGAGAGAATCTCTCAGTTATAACCATAGCTTGTAGGACTTACAGATAGCCCCAGATCATAATTTCCATGATTTCTTTATATCCTCTTGGTTTTGGCAGTACAGGCAGCATTTCCTTATTTTCCCAGGCTTCTCGAAGACCACACAAGCCTCTGGGACCCACCAGGAGGGCACATCTCAGCAAAGTGCCCCTGTGCTTTCTCTAAGAGCATGAGGACAGATTTATCACTTAATTTGTGTCAATATTCACCCACACCTGACTTTTCCTGCAGTGCGAGCCAAGTTCCATGCTGTCTTTCTTCTTGGTGAGGAATAAGCAACTCTGGAGGGTGATGAGCTTCAAAATCCAGATTGAAGAGGGTTGCCTCAGTACCAGCTCTGCTATTTAACAGAGGAGTTTAGCATGCAGGTTGGTGTCACTGACTACAGTTTTTTAACCAATTTTTTCATGTGGAATGTTCATCGTGTGG